CAGGATGATCTGAATCTCAGTGGATACAGGAAATATCTGACCTCGCAGGCTGCTCCCCTGCCCCTCACCGCTGCAGAAGAGGAACTGAGGCAGATTAAACTAAACGAGGTACAAACACACAAACGCAGACATGCTACACTGATGTCATTCTTTGGCCATCATTTTCATTTGAGATAATCTTAGAGGAAATCATGTACATCACAGTGCATGTGTATACAAATAGCACTGAGAGAGACTGCTTGAGTCTGCTCTGCAGTGGGCGTAGATTAGGCTTGTTCCCTGTTTCAGTTTTCAAAAGGGATGACACTACATCACACACTTGTAGCTTCGGCGGGGGAAAAAATAGCTTACCTCAGCTCACAGCAATATTCCTCCTAATCACATCTCCTGTGTGTGAGATGTAAGTCCCACCAGAAACGGTGTGGGGTCTCGATGAGGGCCAGCGATGCAGCCTTCCAAACAGCACAAGGTCAGCAGCAGTGCAAGTGTGCATATGCTTGCCTGGCAGAATCAACACAGCGCAAAGACGCTGATGCATTAGAACAGCAGGATGTTGGCAGAGACGAATCTGTTGGGCTTATACAGCTCACACCCATAGGTCTAAAAAAAATATAGTTTACAATCATTAACCCCATTCAGCTCGAGCATCTAAATGGTTAAAGAAGGGCTTGTGTTCAGATAAATGATTTCCATGTTGAGAGAGCTGCATGCAAATGTGAATGCTCTGCAGCTGTGAGCACTTGGCAGTGATTCTGCATGGAGCACAGGTGAGCCCAGTCATTGTGCTTTGCCTATGTTGTTTGAAGTGATAAGATGAAGAAATACTGTAATGTGATATCCAGTGCATGCTGCTGATGACGCCAGCACTGTTTACGCTGCTGATGTGAAGGGCTTTAGGGCTGTGGCTGAAAGGCTCCACCAGACAGAAAGTAAAAAGACAAAACAAAGAAGCAGCATTTGAAGTCTCAGTTTTCCGACTTTGGGGAACTGTTCCTATAAATTAACCCAAATGAACTGTTCTTCTGTTCTGAGAAGCAACCTTTTCTAACTGCTGCTCTCCCTGTCTGCCACATAAACAAGAACTGTCTTTCTTACCATATATGGAAGTGCTCTGACGAGTGCGCTCCCTCTCCAAAGTATGGTCAATTAAAGGCAGCAGAGCAAATGGGAAGTAAAGGTTTGCGCTTGTCCTACTCGGCCAGCTGTTGAAGGAAGATAATATACCATTAATCTGTACCGCCTGGATGAAAAAAGAGGCTTTGAAATATTTATCATTGCTGTGCGTTGGAGACTGCCTGCCTTTTTAACTAAGCAGATGGATAAAAGACCCACAATCCCTTTTTGTATGCGAGGTAGCCGCATCGGAGGCTCAATCACGTTTGCACGGCATTTCATTTTGTGGGAACAAGGCTCTAAAAATAGATGCAATCCATCAGTGTAATCCCCTCAGCATTTCCAGTTTTCTGTGTGATTTCACGAAGGTGCCTTGTCACTTCCGATACAAGCGCCTCATTTGTAATCGTCATGCTCCAGAATCCAAGCTGCTTGTTGCACTTGTAAACCTTTTTACTTTCGGAAAATGAAGAATATTAATTCTCTTCTCCGCAAGTCATTATGACACCAAAATCATGAGTGGAAACCGACAGAGCATTGATTCGTGCCCTCATTGAATTTAGAGACGAGTAAAATGTGTGCTCCGCATCACTTGTGTTAGTCAGCATGGTGACACAATGTCACCAGCATGTGGTCATGTGGCATCTGGAGGTGTGTGTGTGTGTGTGCGTGTGTGTGTGTGTGTGTAGATACATTCCTGTGAACACAATAAGTCAAGAGTGTGTTAGAAACTGCAGTTTACCACATGCTCCCTTTGTAGATTCAGTTATTTATATGGGTGTTGGAGCATATTTATAATTAATACAAATGCCTGTTAATAAAGAACTAACTTTTTTGAATACATTCATGTAAATACGACTTGTGTGTTATTTGAAGGCAAATTAAATATTTGCTAAATAATGCACTGATCAGCCTTTATCAGTTACCTCACTACCATAACTTTTTGTTTATTGCAGCTTTATCATACTAACCAGGATGTGACAATAAAAAGCTAAAGAGCCTTTTGTGTTTGTGGTGTGTTCAGGTGCAGACGGACATCAGTGTGGACACCAAGCAGCAGACTCTGCAGGGAGTGGCCTTCCCTATTCACAAAGACGCTGTTGCAGCACTTGAACGTTATAGGGACAAAAAGATCAATTACGTACAGCTGGTGAGTCCTAAAGAGCAAATCATTAGTGCGAGGGTGACCTTTGCTCGATCAGTCGTGTTTTCGAATAAGCGAATCAACTGTCTGTCTTTCAACAAACATTGTTTGAGAGAGATACAGATGTCTTTAGTCAGGAGTTGTTTACTGGCCGACACAATGAGTTACTCATTTATAGCCCAAAAAAGCCTTTGTTCTTCTCATTGAAATTCAAAGGGTTCGTGTGACAAGATCGGATCAGAGCAAAGTACAAAGGAATAATTGTGACACTGTTGCTGCTTTGTCTCAGTTCCCTTTTTATCCTAAAAGCTTTTGATTTAAAAAAAAAAAGAAGCATTATGCTCTGTTCTATTTATCCATTGAGGGTTTAATCCAGTACACCAGCAACTGCTGAGTGAATGTTTCACTCACCTGAGAGGGGACGGGAGATGGTTTGTTATTCATTCCGCCCACCCAGATTTTCGCAAATTGGTTTGGGATTCAAAGCAGGAACTTTCCGGTCAAAAGCACACGCCAATATCCTTGAGGGTGAATTTCCATTTCCTCTGTCAACAGCAAGTAGACGCCGAACAGGAGCTGATTCGGTTGTGCGGCACTGAGCCAACAGAGCTGAAAGACCTGCCAATGAGAATTCCTAAAGAATCTGCACGTTACCACTTCTTCCTCTACAAACATTCCCACGAAGGCGACTACTTAGAGTCCACAGGTGAACGCATTCATGATATTCACATTCAGATAGAACAGGTTATCATGAACAGACACACCTTCTATTATTTCAGTTTTTTTATGTTGCTTTGACTGATACTTTGTGTCCACTCCTCTCATTGTCTTTTTTTTTTCTCTTTGCAGTCTTCATTTATTCTATGCCCGGGTACAAGTGTAGCATCCGAGAGAGGATGCTGTATTCCAGTTGCAAAAATCCCTTGGTCGACATGGTGGAAAACAATCTCGGTATTGAGATTGAGAAAAAGGTAAGAAATGATCTGTCACCATGAAAGACTGTGGTCAACCGCATAACAAGCTTTATAAGTTTTGTCACTAACTTAAGCCCCTGAAAACTTTTTAAATGTTGGGTATTTAAAATACAAAATATTGAATATTCATGACTAAATAAGCAACAGTCAAAGCTGAAGATCAGAAAAAACTACAAGGTATAATTTATTAGGGGACACTATGTGTGTGTGGTTTGATGTAGAGCTGCAACAACTAGTTGACGGGAGATAAATTGTCAGCTATTTTAATAATCGTTGAATAAAAAAATGGTTCCAGCTTCTCAAATGTGATGATGTGTTGCCTTTCTCTGTCACATATGAAGGTAACCTTAATAGATGTGCATTTTAAACTGATTCTAGAAACAAGACTACCAATTTGACTACATCTCCTTTAGCTGTGGGATATGATAACAGTCATTTATTACACAATTTTCTGACAAAAGTACACAAGTTAACCTTCCAAATGGGCCCTGCTCTGTTCAAATCAGTGGTAAGGACACAAGTTAGAAATCTCTAATGTGAAATTATAAAAGGCTACAACTATGGGAATATCTTTTGGAATATGTTTTTATAGATATGTATGTAACATGTCTGTTGTGGTTCATACAAAGACATCAAAAAGGTAGAACCTTATTTAGCAAAAAATACCACATATCGAGTGTGAGTTGGAGTGGATTCTGCAGGCCATCCGCTCATAGTTTTTTTTTGTCTGTTTTCCAGTTGGAGATTGACAATGGCGATGAACTGACCAGTGATTTCCTGTACGAGGAGGTGCATCCCAAGCAGCATGCACACAAGCAGGCCTTCGCCAAGCCCAAAGGCCCCGCTGGGAAGAAGGGTGGCCGCCGCATCACCCGACCACCAGCAGGGAAAGAGGAGGAAGATTAAAACAGACCTCAGCTCCCCGCCACCACCTCCACCCAGAGCACGTTCCACAGTGGAACATTTCTTTGATGGGGGGGGAATCATATTTGACACGCTTGTTTAAAAGAATAAGACAATAACATGTTAAAATTCCCACAAAGTTCACCAGAGACCCAACTATGCACGCCAAGGACAACTGAGCAATGACACACTTCAGAGTTTCCATTTGTAGCTTGCCAAATGGAAGCATATTTATGTATGTTAGTAGTCACAAATAACTTACAGTGATTCAAAGAGGCCCAAACAAAGTCAAACTTGAGGTTTTTACATTATTGCCAGTTCTGAGACCTTAAAAATGTTAGTGACTAAATGTGAACTTGCGCCAATATGATAAAATTCCCCCATTTTTAGTTCACATCCTCATATTCTTAACTTGCATTCCTTAAGTCTGTGTCAATTAATGTTTTTTTGTGTCTATTGTGTTGAACATTTGTCTCCTACTGTTTGCACAACAAGGTGCTCCAAAGCAGAAAAGATATAATTATCCCAATTGTGTCTATTGATTCGTTTTAACAGTGCATTTTATATTGGAAATTGACTTCTTTTTTGATATAACTGTGGTTTACATGAAAAATCATCTGCTGAGAAACTTATTTTTCTATGCAAGTGCTGTAAATGTACATATTGTAGCTGTGTGATGCTCTATGATTAAGAAACAGTCTGGTCTGTTCTGGTGATTGTCAGTGTCGGTGAGGATCACAGTGGAAAGAACAGGGGCTTCCAGAAATATTACGTCAATACATCTCATATTTCACTGAGAAGGAAGCTACTCAACCTTTGCTGGTTCCCATACAAGAGGGATCCCAAGCAACCGGATAGGAAAGGGAATACTATTAAGTACCTTGATTCAAATGTTGCCACATCCACTGATCTACTGATTAATATTAGGCAAACTACTAAGCTCACCTCATTTTGAAGGGAAAATCCCTTTATAGTCATACAGTGTCATTATAATAGAGAGAAAAAACATGTTTGGTCTTATTTGTTTTCTTACAAATCTTTCTTTTAAAGAAGAAAAATAAAATATTTAAATCATACATATTCTGTTTCATTCACTTTATTTTTTCAACTGTCCTTTACAATAAATACACAATAGAAACACTGGCAGAATAAAAATTGCTTACAATCTTTTCAAGGTATCAAATCTCCTGACATAACAGCCTTAACGGTAAAAACTCAGCTACATGCTTCATACCAAAAATATAATATGTCATCAGTACAAAATATTGTTGCAAAAAAATACTTTTGTCAGTCACAGTCATCAAGCAATATTCAATTGTTTTAACCTCCTTTGAGAAGGAAATGTATTTGTGTGTGCACTGTAACTGGAGCCGGCTCAGAAAGCTTCTCTGGGATGCTTCACTACTGTGCTTTAAAATCCAGTGAAATGCTCTTCACAACCCCTCTAAGCTCCAAGAAGACCTGTTGGGATAGATATTCATGTTAATAACTAAAATAGATGGCCTACATATAAAAATAAATAAACCTTTTTTTTATTTTATCATTTACATACAGGAAACATAAATGTGTGATCTAATCAAAGCTGCAGCAAATCCAAAGTCAAACTGCAGAGAACAAAGAAGGACTGGAGCACACTGATTAACTCACAGCCATTAATTGTGCAAACAGACACTACTGTGAAGACACAGTAGTGTCGAAACATTAGCAATGAAGAAATGTTAGCCTAACAAACACCATTCCTGTCATAAACCTAAATTGTTACCCAAACATTATTAAAATCACATAATTGAGCCCCTCTGTTGCACTGGACAACGTTTTCCTTTATTATAATGAAAAATATAAAAATTATTATAATGAACTCGGGCACTGTAGTTTATTCCAGGTTGATCCATCATATACCGTCTTGCTTCTGTAAACACTCAAAGGTGCACCACATCTGCAGCTGAAAATAATCCCAAACAAATGCACTACTTGCTTTTGCTTTTTAGTAACATTAGCCAAAACCTACAGTACCCAGCTGTTATATGTAATTACTGAGGTAATGTATCTGTGTTTATTTTTTAAAGATTTGCATGATCACTATAATTATATGGGGCTGACAGACTATGACATCTGTCTGTTACTGAGGCTTAACAGATATTTCGCTCAAGATGACGTTGAGAAAGCAGTGCAGATGCTAACACAGTAGCTTCAACTATATATCTTGATATCTGTCTTTCCTCCCCGTACCTGTTTGATAACTGGCCGTCTATTTTTCCTCTCGAGGAGGCAGTTACAGGCCAAAGAGTAGACACTCTCCACCTGGCTCAGCCCCAAGTCTCCCATCTTTTTGTCCAGGAAGTGCTCTAAAGTCAGCTCCTCGTCTTCATCTTCTATATCATACCTCATCTCCATCTGGGAGGGAAAATCACGATAAATACGACTGAAGACAGCAATGAACATGTTTTGAGGAAAGTACTGCTTCAAGTTAGTATTATTGCTTTTATCATGTTGGAGGAACTTCTTTTTGAACAGATGAAACCGGCTCAAATCCTTTCAATTACTTTTAATTACTGCTAACTGATAGGGTGCCATTATTAATTAAATGTAAAGTCTTTAATAAGCCGTAATCGCAAACTGCAGCTTGATAGATACACAGTGAAAGCCTCTTCTGTGCTGCTTACCAAGAACTGTGGCTCGCGGTTTTCATCGGCTGGCGGGAGTCCAGACAATATTTCTAACAACACCTGTAGATGGCAGGGAGACAGGGTTAATCGCATGGCTCCGGACGACAGAAAACCTTTATTACCCCACCATGTGCCAGGCAGCTTCACAGACACCGTAGTGTTTCCACAGCTGTCCTAATAAGACATATATACACTGTACATACTGCACTATATTAAAGGTCAGGCCGTTTTATACAGCCCTGATCCCATAAATCATTTAACCAATGTCAGACAGTGGATAATATGTTTGACATTTATAGCTGCTAATACAGTACAGCTGTGCCCCTTAACTGATTCAGAAGTTTTAGTAAGAAATAATGACAGATGATACGTCAAATAGAGCTCCTTTTTCACAAATGGGAAGAAATGTATACTATAATGTTTATGTCCTGCAGTTATGTATGTGTCAGTAGTTCGGGAGAACCTTGCACTCAAGTAAACTGCTGACTCGTGTTCTATTTACATTACAGTTGCAGTTTCTCCTTTCCTGACATAATATCCTGATCTGCGTGTGCGTTTCTGGGTGCATGTGTGTCTGCAGAAAGCCTACCACTCCAAAGCTGAAGACATCAGATTTTGATGTGATCTCTCCTCTTAGCGCCTCAGGTGCCATGTATGCACGGGTACCCACAATCCTCTCCGTCATCATGGTTGTTGATGTCCTCTTGGCCGATGCTCTCGTCAGCCCAAAGTCTGAGATCTTTGCCACAAATTTTTCATCTAACAGGATATTTGCACTAATAAGACAAAAAGATAGATTGTGAGCACAGTGAGTCAAGCATATCTGATTCATAGGTTCTACCTGCCCGAGTCAACATTTTGGGAAATTTGCTTATTCACTATCTTGCTGAGAGTAAGATGAGAAGATTGATATCATGGTCATATCTCTCTGTTAAATAGTAAGCTACAGCCAGTAGACAGTATGATGACCCCTCCCCATCCTGGCGGGTCTATCTTCCTGCAGGGGTGTGGCCATTAGATGGGCTACACCTGGTTCATCCCTGATTACTAGGCTTTATAAGAGGTTGATCAG